TATTGGAAGAGTTTGCACGATAATCGAATGTGTAACAATCGCCAAAAGAAATCGAAAAATCATTTCGAAAATCTTTTTACGATTTTTGGTTTTACGACATTCATTCGAAAATTGATTCATACAAATATTTCATTCACATACCATTGTTTGTGCAATAAGCAGCGACAAAACAAATTAATGGCAATTAGTTCAATTTTAAGAATTCCAAATAATTTCGGACTTAATATTTAAAATTGCAATGCTTTATTGTTTTTTGTTGATGATTACATATCAGATTATTGTGCAGACTCTTCCAATGATTTCATTCCATTTCGAGTGGGAATGATTTAGTGACAGTTCTGAACAATGCTGCCAGTTGTAATCGCATTAGCATGAAGCTATTATTATTCAATGTAACTAACAAGAAATTTTAGGCGTAGTGGAGTCAAAATTACTATGCAAAAGACAGTAGCTTTGGATTATATTTGATCACAGATCATACGGCTTATTGGAATGCATAAAAATGGTTCTCTCTGCTAATTCCACTTCGTTTGGTGGGTTGTCTGCTAAAATTTTTCGAAAAGGCTTTGATGATTTCTACGTTCCATCACTTCCCAACCATGTTTGCATCATGTTATTTGATGGTGATTGCTTTGCCGTTATATATCGCGCAAATAACGGTATGTAAATAACATATTGGTATCAGTATAGAAATTTAATATTCATAAAATTTATTTTGCCTGAAAATAAAAACAGCTACTTCCAGCAAAGGGAAATCAAATTTTTCATTTCTTATTTCCTGTAACTTCCAAATATTCAGTGTTTTGCGATCGTATTCCATAGCAAAAACCAAAGTAAAACGCAAAGAGTTTGTGCGTCGGATCACAGAACAATTTTTGTGTCATTAAATGCAGCAAACAAATCTATAAATTTATTTAGAACTATTTCAGGTATCAAATGAAGGGAGTTTGCCGATGCAAACAAGGATAAAACATGACAACGAAATAACGACCGTGACTAATGGCAGTAAGGAAAAAGAAAAGTGGTTCGAATGTGAGGTATGCGATAAGCAATTCGGACGTGTAAGCATTCTGGAACGCCACATGGCGATACATACTCGTACAAAAAACTGCAGATGCAAGGTATGTGATAAGCAATTCGGACAGGCATGCCATCTTGAATGCCATATGAGGATACATACCGGTGAAAAAAACTATGTATGTAAGGTATGCAACAAAACATTCAATCAGCATTCAAATATGAAGACACACGAACTGACGCACAATAACGCACGACCATTCAAATGTGAACAGTGTGGCAGGAATTTTACTCATAAATATTATTTGAAAAAACACGTGAATATACACAAAAATTCGAGCGAAAGGCTGTGTTCTACATCGGACAATCTGAATCGAAATAAATCGACGCACGAGGAAGTACGACCATTCAAATGTGAAAGGTGCGATAAAGCATTTAAAAAGCGTTACCATCTGTTACAACATATGAAGACACATACGGACGAAAGGACACTGAAATGCAATGGATGCGATGAAGTATTCAAATACCCTTCAAATCTGCTGCGACACAAATTGAAGCACGAAGACGTGCGATTCAAATGTAAACAGTGTGATAAGAATTTCATTCGAAAGGATTGTTTGAAAGAGCACATGAAAATACATAAAAGTTCGAGTGAAAAGCTGTATTCGACAGTAAGCTCCTTAATAAATTCGATAGCAGAAGATATCATCGACACAGAAATGTTAATAAGAGAAATTGTTGCATTCATGGGTACATAAATTATTGTATTGTTTTGACTTAAATCATATTTGTACATTTTCTGTCATCTGTGCTTTATCCATTATTCCCTGATCGAATGGCTGAAGTGATTGATGAAAATGGATGGAAAGTTTTGGATTATGATTTAGCAGAACTTCATGTTGCATTCATATTTTTGCATAAATTTTTATATGTTGTTCAAATTTAATGTGCCAATATTCTTTTCGTTATTAATTTTGTCTAATTAATTATCGCAGCTAAATAAATGTTTGAATCAAATGAATGCCATAAGAAAACTAAGGATTTAAAATTTTTAATATGTTTTATTTCCGATGGATTTCAATTTTGAAACTATTTAGTTGTGTCATCTCTTTTCTATTATCTCTTCTTATTTACCAATTATGTCTGAGTAAAATCGAGGTGAACATTGGTGAGCAATTAAAAGACGATGGAAAAAATAATGAAAAAATTGTTTATTCTAATTTTCTCGCTGTACTAATTTAATTGGTAATATATCTGTTTGAATTAATGCAGTTAGTTACTGTAGTTTCAATTTTGAGATGAGAAATTTAAAATTGTGCCAAATTTTTTCACCCAAAAGAAATATATGAACGAACGAACAAGTAAACCTATCCATTTATTATATAGGACAATAATAATGATTCAAATATCAACAAGAAAGCAATAATATTTTTCCCTACTGAAAGGATTTCATTAAAGTTTAAATTCGAAAAATATGTGATAAATAGCAAAACACACCGTATAATAATGATAATTGATAAGCACATTGAACAGCGTATTACACTGAGAATAGAAATGAATGATAATTCTTTGAATGATTCAATGATTCTTTGAATCATTTTTTGAATGATTCTATTCAAAGGATTCTTAAAAATTTTAATGACAATTAATTTGAATATTAAAAAATTCAAATAATTTCGAATTTTAAATTTTCGAAATAATATTGCTTCAATGCCTTTTGGTGGCGATTACACATTAGATAATTGTGCACACACTTCCAATGAATACAATTCATCTGAGCTGAAAAAATTTAGTGACAACTCTGAACAATGTTACCAGTTGTATTCGCATTTGTATGAAATTATTATTATTCAATGCTATTAACAAAAAATTTTAGAGTGTAGTGGAATCAAAATTATTATGCGAAAATGCAGGGATTTTGTGATTATACTTGGTCATAGATCATACGGCCTACCGGAATGCATAAAAACGCTTCCTTCTGGTAGATGTCAATTCGTTTGGCAAATTGTCTGCTAAAAATATTTTTCGAAAAGGCTTTGGCGATTCCTACGTTCCATCATTACCCAATCATGTTTGCATCATATTATATGGTAGTGATTGCTTTGCCGTTGTATGTAGCGCAAATAACGGTAAGTGAATAAGATATTGATCTCAGTATAGAAATTAAATAGCTCACAAAGTTTCTATTATAGCTGGAAACAAAAGCAGCCGCTTCCTGCAAAGAGAAATTGAATTTTTCATTTTCATTTCTTTACCTGTCAATTCTAAATATTCGGTGTTTTGCGATCATATTCTATAGCAAAAATCAAACTGAAATGCAAAAGATATGTGCATTGAATCACAGAATCATTTTTGTCACATTCAAAAACCTTAATCAAACTTACAAGCAAATTATTTAGGATTATTTCAGGTATCAAATCAGGAGAGTCCGCCAATACAGGCAGAAATAGGAAACGATAAGGAAATAACGATTGTGGCTAATGACAGTAAGGTAAAAGGAAAATGGTTCAAATGTGAGCTGTGCGATAAGCAATTCGGATATGCTAGTGCACTGAAACGCCATATGAGGACACATACTGGTGAAAAAAAATACACATGTAAGGTATGTGATCAGCAATTCGGGCATGCAAGCAGTCTGAAACGCCATATGACGATACATACCGGTGAAATAAATTACATATGTAAGGCATGTGATAAACCATTCCGGCATGCAAAGTCTCTGAAGCGCCATTTGAGGATACATACCGGTGAAAAAAACTACATATGTAAGATATGTGATAAGCGATTCGGAGATGCAAGCAGTCTGAAACGCCATATGAGGATACATACCGGTGAAAAAAACCGCATATGTGAGATATGTGATAAGCAATTCGGAGATACAAGCGGTCTGAAACGCCATATGAGGACACATACCGGTGAAGAAAATCACATATGTAAGGTATGCAATAAAACATTCAATCAGCATTCAAATATGAAGATACACGAATTGACACATGAAAACGTGCGATCATTCGAATATGAACAGTGTGGTAAGAATTCCACTCGGAATTGTAATTTGGAAAAACACGTGAATGTACACAAATGTTCGCGTGAAAAGCTGTATTCTACATCGGACGATCTGAATCGAAACAAATCGACGCACGAGGATGTGCGACCATTCAAATGTGGAAGATGCGATAAAATACTTAAAAAGCTTCACCATCTGAAAAACCATATGAAGACACATTGGGACGGAAAGATACTGAAATGCAACGGATGCGATAAAACATTCAAATACCCTTCAAATCTGCAACGACACAAATTGACGCACGACAACGTGCGATTCGAATATATGCAATGTGGCAAGAATTTCACTAAGTATTATTTGAAAGAACACATGAAAATACATAGAAGATCGAATGAAGAGCTGTATTCTGCAGTAAGCTCTTTAATGATATCGATAGCCGAAGATATCATTGACACAGAAATATTAATAATGAAAATCCTTGAATTCACAAGTATATAAATTATTGTATTGTGTTGGCTTAAATTATATTTGTACATTGTTTTCTGTCATTTGTGCTTTGTTCATTATTTCCTGATCGAATGGCTGAAGTGATTGATAAAATTAGATGGAAAGTTTTGAATTATGATTTAATAGAACTTCATGTTACATTCATTTTTTCACATAAATTTTAATGTGTTATTTAAATTTACAATGCCAATATTCCCTTCGTTTTCAATCTTGTTTAATTAATTATCGAAGTTAAATAAATGTTTAAATGAATGCCATGAGAAGATATTTGACTTGAAATTTAAACACATACATACACAAAGAGACATTCAAAAATATATGTAGTGAAAATTTTAAAAATTGATAAAATCTATCATTACTTCAATTGAAAACAATATTTTAAAATTTAACAGCCAATTTCTACGGTAACTTTGAAAAATATCACGTAGAATATTTGGAAATGTTTCAGTAAAAAAGCTGACGTGCATTGTGTACTGAACGTATTGTAGGCTGCAATGTATTGCACGTAGCAAGGAATATTATTTCAAATAAGTTTCATTTTAAATATCTGACCGTTTCCGAAGGTGCAACAATTCAAAATAATACACGCTGTTGGCAACTTATTAAAAAAAAGAATTTTTTCGTTTTTATTTTATATGTCATATTTTGGGATGATTTTACAACTTTTCTGGGTTGGATAACATAACAAAAATTATATATAAATATTTACGGCTGAATAGCTCTTCAGTTTTCTTTTTAAATGGTATAAAATAAAGCGGAAATAATAGTAAAACGAAAAATGATAAATGATAGTCGTGAACAACGAAGTCTGAAGTAAAACGTTGCAGAAACACGAGAAATTTTAACCCAATAAAAATTGAGTCTCTGAATTTTGAAACTTTATAAAAGATTTTAAAAAATTGCACATCGATATGCCCCCCCTATATGTTATAATAATCTTTCATCGTTTTGCTGTGCTTAATATAAACTGTCACTTTGTGGTAAAGTTAATAGCTTTCTTCATTTGAGAGCTTCATAGTCATACTGTGATACTTAAGATCTGTGACATCAAAAATAGTTATGAAATTGACGAAATAATTTTTTCGAATATTTCGTTGACAATTTTTTTGTTTTCTTCTTCGATAATGAAAATCTTTGAATTCAAATTGCAACGAGTAAACAAATAAACAAATAAAACTATATGTTTAAAGGAAAATACATCACTCGAAAGGATAATTTAAGGGGGTTTAAGGTTAAAGGATAATACATCACTCGAATTGACCTTTAAACAAATGGACCTTTTACTAGCTTTTTCGCCCTGATTATGTGATATGTTAGTGAATTTTGAAAATTTGTTTGTTTATTAATGAATTGAAAATAACTTAGATTCTAAAAATTCCACGAATTGGACGAAGAATGAGTTTTTAATGATTCGTCATCAGCTTTCTTGCAGTATTCGATTAAAGGATAAAGTGAGCTTTTAACATCATATATGATCAATACGATCAATGCTCGATTCGAAAAGTTATCTTTAAATGAAACATTGAATTCTGTTGGTATAAAATTCCATTTATAATAATTCTAGGAAGACCGCATTTGAAATATGTTTGATGGTGTCGAGGATTTGCGACAATGAATACTTGAAAATTTTAATGGCAAGTAATTTGATTTTTAATCAAACAACTTCGAAATCAACTAATTTCACTTTATCTCAAATATGTTTAATTGTCATTTTAAGTTTTACTTCGGTTACTGAAAAATCAATCCACAAATCAAATCATTTAATCGATAACATTAAAAGCAATGCGTTATTGAACGTCTTGGAAATCTACCAGATGGTGCTGAGGATTTATTTAATGAACTCTAAATGATTTTAATGGCAATTATTTCGAATATTAATAATGCAAATAATTTCGAACTTTAAATTTTCGAAATAATATTACTTTAATGTCTTTCACACATTAGATTATTGTGCACACTCTTCCACTGAATTCAATGAATTCATCCCATTCGATTTGGAAATGATTTGGCAATAATACTGAACAATACTGTCAGTTGTAATCGCATTTGTATGAAACTATTATCATTCAATGTTAGTAACAAAAATTTCAGAGTGTAGTGGGATCAAAATTATTATGAGAAAAGACCAGGGTTTTGTGATTATATTTGGTCATAGATTATTCGGCTTAACGGAATGCATAAAAACGGTTCCCTCTGATAGATGTCAATTCGTCTGGCAAGTTGTCTGCTAAAAATTTTTGACGATTTCTATATTCCATCACTTCCCAATCATGTTTGCATCATATTATATGATAGTGTTTGCATTGCCGTTGTATATCGCGCAAATAACGGTATGTGAATATTACTCTCAGTATAGAAATTAAGTTTCCAAATAGTTTTTCATTTTAGATAAAGATAAAAACAGCTGTTTCCTGTGAAGGAAAATTGAACTTTATCATTTCATATCTATTTCACTGCCATTTTCAAATATTCGATGCTTTGCCATCATATCCTGTAGCAAAAATAAAAGTGAAACGCAAAATCACAGAAACATTTTTGTTGCATTGAAAAACACTAATCAAATCTATAAACAAATCGTTTTGGATTATTTCAGGTATCAAATGATGGGAGTCTGCCAATACAAGAAGGGATAAGAAATGATATGGAAATAGCGACTGTAGCCAATGACAGTAAAGCAAAAGAAAAATGCTTCATATGTGAGGTATGCGAAAAGCAATTCAGTCATGCAAACATTCTGAAACGTCATATAAGGACACATACCGGCGAAAAAAACTACATATGTGAGGTATGCGATAAGCGATTCGGACGTGCAAACACTCTGAAATGTCATATGAGGATACATACCGGCGAAAAAAACTACACATGTAAGGTATGCAAAAAAGCATTCAGACAGTCCAGCCATCTGAAGAAACACGAATTGATGCACAGAAACGCACTACCATTCAAATGTAAGCAATGCGGTAAGAATTTCACTCGAGAATATTATCTGAATGAACACATGAAAATACACAAAAGTTCGGGTGAAAAGCTGTATTCTACATCGGACGATCTGAATCGAAACAAATCGATGCACGAGGAAGTACGACCATTCAAATGCGAAGTGTGCGATAAATTATTTAAAAAGCTTCACCATCTGAAAAACCATGTGAAGACACATTGGGACGGAAAGATGCTGAAATGCAACGAATGCGATAAAATATTCAAATATCTTTCAAATCTGCAGCGACATAAATTGACGCACGGCAACGTGCGATTTGAATGTAAGCAATGTGGTAAGAATTTCACTCGAAAGCATAATTTGAGGGAACACATGAAAATACATAAAAGTTCGAGTGAAAAGCTGTATTCGACAGTGAGTTCCTTGATGACATCGATAGCAGAAGATATCATTGACACGGAAATATTAATAATGGAAATTCTTGAATCCACAGGTATATAAATTATTGTATTGTGTTGACTTAAATTGTATTTGTACATTGTTTTCTGTTATTTGTGCTTTGTTCATTATTTGATGATCGAATGGGTGAAGTGATTGGTAATATTTGATAGAAATTTTAAATTATAATTTGGTAGAATTTCGCATTGTACTCAATTTTTCACTTGAAATAAATATGCCCTCAAAGTAAACAAGATTTCATCAATTATAACTGTCAGTAGTGCGTTCTGAAATATGATTTCTATAAAATTAGGAATAATAAATATGCAATTAGTAAAATAAAACTTTTCGCTTTCATTAAAGAAGTCATGTTTTACAGTGATAGGATAAAAAAAAAGATATTATCATTAATGCAACATTTCGAATTAGTGAATATTTAAAATATTTACAAAAAACACAGAAATTCACAATTGTGGTAATAAAATATTAGAATTAAAAATCATTATGAGAACTGTTAAATTAATACGGTCAGAAAAGTGCGAGATATAATTTTCCCAAACTTATGATAAATATAATTCAATAATTTTCTTGCTTTTATTTTACCTGACTCCAGGTATTCTTACATTTATTTTACCTAACTATAAGTGCTGAAAAAGTGCAAAATATCGAAACTTCCTGCTACATATTGCAATTTTAATATAAATTAAAAATGAAACACTAAACTTAAATTATGTGAACCCAAAATAATATGAAAATTATAAATAAATTTTCAACAATAGTATAGTAAATAATTGATTTTCTCAATTATAATAGTTTCATAGAAATGCGATTACAACTGGCAGCATTGTTTTGAATTGCTACCAAATCATTTCAACTGGAAATGAAATAAAATTATTCGATCAGTATAAACAATAATTTAATGTAGTCATGAACAAAAAACGACGAGGCATTGCTATTTTAAAAATATAAGACTTGCTTATATTAAAATTCGATTTAATTGCTATTCAATTGCTTTGCACACATGTAACGATAAGTGAATATGATATTGCTCGCAATATAGGAATGGAATAAATAATGAAGTCGCAGAACAAAATCGAAGGCACAAAAGCATGAACAGACTATGTTCAAGTATTGCCGAAATATAAAATAGCCTTATTTCATCGAAGTGCAATATTCTATGCATGTTATAGTATTTATGGTTAAAAAATATGATGAAATTAATGAAAGCAAAAATATTTAAATTAGTCTTTTTATGATTTCTAATTTTACTACAGCCATTCAAAACCAATTCATACAAATCTAAATTGAGAAGCAATATTCTATTCACATATCGTTATTTGTGCGATATACAACGATAAGGCAATTTAATGGCAATTAGTACAAATTTTAAGAATTGCAAACAACTTCAAATTTTATATTTTAAAATAGCAATGATTCATCGTTTCTTGTTGATGATTACATATTAGATGATTGTGCAGACTCTATAAATGAATTCATTTCATCGGAGTTGTAAGGATTTCGTGGCAATTCTAGACAATGCTGCCAGTTGTAATCGCATTTGCATGAAACTATTATTATTCAGTGTAACTAACACGAAATTTTAGGGTGTAATGGAATCAACATTACTGTGCAAAAGACCGGGGTTTTGGATTATATTTGGATAGAACATACACGGCTTACCGGAATGCATAAAAACAGTTCCCTCTGTTAATTTCATTTCGTATGGTGGTTGTCTGTTAAAAATAAATTTCAAAAAGTTTTGACGATTTCTGCATTCCCTCAATTCCCAATTATGTTTGTGGCATATTATTTGTTAGTGATTGCTTTGCCGTTGTATATCACGCAAATAACGGTATGTGATTAAGATATTGCTCTCAGTAAAGAAATTAAATACTCACAAAGTTTTTATTTTAGCTGGAAACAAAAGCAGCTGGTTCCTGGAAGGAAAATTAGGTCTTGTCATTCCTTATCTATTTCTTTGTAACTTCTAAATAATTGGTATTTTGCGATCATATCCTATAGTAAAGACCAAACTGAATAGAAAAGTTTGTGCGTCAGGTCACAAAATCTTTTTTGTCACATTGAAAAACAATAATCAAATCTATAAGCATATTATTGAATATTTCAGGTGTCAAATGATGGGAGTTTACTAACACAAGCAGGAATAAGTAATTACCATGAAACAACGACCGCGGCTAATAACACTAAGGCAAATGAAAAATGGTTCAAATGTGAGTTATGCAATAAGCAATTCAGACATGCAAACTCTCTGAAATATCATATGGCGAAACATACTGGTGAAAAAAACTACATATGTAAGGTATGTGATAAGCAATTCGGACAAGCATGCCATCTGGAATGCCATATGAGGATACATACCGGTGAGAAAAACTATGTATGTAAGGTATGCAACAAAACATTCAATCAGCATTCAAATATGAAGACACACGAACTGACACATAAAAACGTACGACCATTCAACTGTAAACAGTGTGGTAAGAATTTCACTCGGAATGGTAATTTGAAAAAACACGTGAATATACACAAAAGTTCGAGCGAAAGGCTGTATTCTGCATCGGACGATCAGAATCGAAACAAATCGACGCACGAGGCATTACGACCATTCAAATGTGAAAAGTGCGATAATGCATTTAAAAAGCGTTACCATCTGAAACATCATATGAATATGCATGAAGACAGAAAGGCATTGAAATGCAACGAATGCGATAAAGTATTCAGATACTCTTCAAACCTGCAACGACACAAATTGACGCACGGAAACTAGCGATTCGATTGTAAACAATGTTGTAAGAATTACACTCGAAAGGATAGTTTGAAAGAGCACATGAAATTACATAAAAGTTTGAGTGAAAAGCTGTATTCGACAGCGAGCTCTTCGTAATGACATCGATATCAGAAGTCATCGATACAGAAATATTAGAAATTATTGCTTTCACAGGTATAAAAATTATTGTATTGTATTTGTACATTGTTATCCGTCATTTTTGCTTTGTCCATTACTTCCTAATCGAATGGCTGAAGTGATTGTTGAAATTGGATGGATAGTTTTGAATTATGATTTTAATAGAACTTCATATTGCATGCATTTTTTCACATGAGTTTTTAAATGCTGTTTAAATTTACTATGCCAATATTCTCTTCGCTATCAATTTTGTCTAATCAATTATCGAAGTTAAATAAATGTTTAAATAAATTATTGAATCAAATGAATGCCACTTGTAAGATTATAATTGTTTTTAATACTAACAGAAATATTTTAATTAATTTAATTAAAGTTTTATAACTAATAACAGAAATAAGTTTTGGTTGGAACGTGAGCAATAATAAATTTCGATATGCTAAAGGTTTGCCAAATATTATCAATTTTGACATCCATGAGTTCCTTTAAAGGCATTCAATAATCCATTGCTTTAAATATTATCGTTGGTTTTCGAATTGAAGCAAAACCTAAAATTAATTATTCGAAAGGATTGTTTTAAACATATTGTTTTTTATTATTAATCTATGAATTATTTTAAACATAATTATTCTAATGCACATAAAATAAATACTGCCTGTAGATAAAATAAGGCTTTTTAATTTTAGCAATAAAATATTTGAGTATGGCCTTCTATTTCTATATGTAAATTTATTGTTTGCTGTCATCATCAAGAAAGCAACGACATTTTTTGCTAACTGAAAGGATTTCATTAAAGTTTAAATTTGAAAAATATGTAATAAAAACAAAACATGCTGTACAATAATGATACCTGATAGGCATATTGAACAGCGTATTACACTGAGATCAGAAATGAATGAAAAATCTTTGAATAATTATTTAGTATTTCTCGTTACAGTAACGTGTTGAAAAAAAGTTACAGTAACGTATTGAAAAAAGTTACAGTAACGTATTGAAAAAAGTTACAGTAACGTATTGAAAAAAGTTACAGTAAGGTATTGAAAAAAGTTACAGTAAGGTATTGAAAAAAGTTACAGTAAAAGAGCTTTTATTTGATATTATGGAAAAAGCGATTTTCTTTTAATATTAGTTTGCCGAAATCAAAACTTTTGCTCTGAAATCTTTCAACTTAAAATTTAAAAATGCATGATATTTGTTGATGTAAAATTTCCATCCGCGATATAACAAATACTGAAATGTTAAGTGAAGATTGCAATATCATCTCTTTCTTTTGGAAAATTTTGCTGATAAAATTCGAAATTTAAATATTGTTATACTTTCTTGTGCAAGTAAAAGTTGCCGAACATAATTTTGCATTTAATACATCGATAGAAATTTTATAATCGCATTTGTCTGAAACTATTATCATTCAGTGTAGCTAACAAGAAGTTAAAGAATATAGTTGAATCAAAATCATTATGTGAAAAGGCTGCGGTTTTGTAATTATATGCGGCCATAGATCATACGGCTTGCTAGAATGCATAAAAACGCTTCCTTCTGTTAATTTCACTTCGTTTGGTGGGTTGTCTGCTAAAAATCTTTTTCGAAAAGGCACTGACGATATCAACATTCCATCACTTCCCGATTATGTTTGTATCATATTTTATGGTAGTGATTGCTTTGCCACTGCATATCGCGCAAATAACGGTATGTGAATAAGATATTGGTCTCAGCAAAGAAATTAAAGACTCACAAAGTTTCTATTTTTGCTGGAAACAAAAGCAGCTGCTTTCTGTGAAGGAAAATTAAATTTTGTTATTCCTTATCCATTTCCTTATAATTTCTTAGTAATTGCTGTATTGCGATCATATCCTATAGTAAAAACTGAAGTGAAACGAAAAAAGTTTATGCGTCAAGTCACAGAATCATTTTTGTCACATTGAAAAACAATAATCAAATCTATAAAAAAATTGTTGAGGATTATTTCAGGTGTCAAATGATGGGAGTCTACCAACACAAACAGGTGTAAGAAATGACAAAGAAATAACGACCGCGGCAAATAACACTATGGCAAATGAGAATTGGTTCAAATGTGAGTTATGCGATAAGCAATTCAGATGTGCAAGCATTCTGAAACACCATATGAGGATACATCCCGGTAGAAAAAACTACATATGTAAGGTATGTGATAAGCAATTCGGATATGCAAGTCATCTGGGATGCCATATGAGGATACATACCGGTGAAAAAAACTATGTGTGTAAGGTATGCTACAAAACATTCAATCAGCATTCGAATATGAAGACACACGAACTGACACATAAAAACGTACGACCATTCAACTGTAAACAGTGCGGTAAGAATTTCACTCGGAACGGTAATTTGAAAAAACACATGAATATACACAAAAGTTCGAGTGAAAGGCTATATTCTACATCGGGCGATCTGAATCGAAATAAATCGACGCACGAAGAAGTACGACCATTCAAATGTGAAAGATGCGATAAAGCGCTTAAAAAGCGTTACCATCTGGAACAGCATATGAAGACACATACGGACGAAAAGGCACTGAAATTCAACGGATGCGATAAAGCATTCAAGCAGCCTTTAAATCTGCAGCGACACAAATTGACGCACGACAACGTGCGATTCGAATGTAAGCAATGTGGTAAGAATTTCACTAAGGAATTTGAAAGAACACATGAAAATGCATAAAAGTTCGAGTGAAATGCTGTATTCGGCAGTGAGCTCTCCTTAATGACATCGATATCAGAAGTTATTGACACAGAAATATTAATAATGGAAATTATTATATTCACAGGTATATAAATTACTATATTGTGTTGGCCTTATTATATTTGTACATTATTTTCTGTCATTTTTGCTTTGTCCATAATTTCTAATCGAATGGCTGAAGTGATTGTTGAAATTGGATGGAAAGCTTTGAATTTTGATTTGATCGAATTTCATATTGCATTTATTTTTTCACATGAATTTTAATCTATTGTTTAAATTTTGGTATACCAATATTCTCTTCGTTATCATTTTTGTCTGATAAAATTATCGAAGTTAAATAAATGTTTTAATAGATTACTGAATCAAATGAGTGCCACTTGTAAGAATATAATTGTTTTTAATACTAACAGAAATATTTTAATCTACTTTTCATCTTGATTCTTCGATTACCAACTTTTTGTCTCAACTTTTCTACTTCAAGAACCTCATTCTGATGACCCTAAATGAAATAATTTAACGAGATACATATAAAATAAGAAAGACCTGCAAAGAATTACAAAGTTTAACAACTAATAGCGGAAATAAGTTTTGGTTGCAACGTCAGCAATAATAAATTTCGATATGCTAAAGGTTTGCCAAATATTATCATTTTTGAAATCCTAGAGTTCTTTCATCCCTTCGACAGATTTAATAATTGATTGGAATATAAAAATATTTATCATTTATGTCTTATCGAAATATAATTCTAAGTATTTAGTGGATTCTCATAATTCTACAGAAATCCTTAGCACTAACAAATTGTTTATAAAGGCATACAATAACCCATTGCTTTAAATATTATCGTTGGCTTTCGAATTGAAGCAAAACCTAAAATTAATTATTCGAAAGGATTGCATTAAACATAGTTATTATTAACCTATGAATTATTTTAACCGTAATTATTCTAATGCACATAAAATACTGATTTTAGATAAAATAAGGCTTTTTAATTTTAGCAATAAAACATTTGAGTATGGCCTTCTATTTCTATATGTTAATTTATTGTTTGCTATCATTATCAAAAAAGCAACGACATTTTTTGCTAACTGAAAGGATTTCATTAAAGTTTAAATTTGAAAAATATGTAATAAATAAAAACAAAACATGCTGTACAATAATGATAATTGATAAGCATATTGAACAGCGTATTACACTAAGATCAGAAATGAATGAAAAATCTTTGAATGACTGTTTGATATTTCTCGTTACAGTAGCGTAGGAAAAAGAAGTTACAGTAAAAAAGCTTTTATTTGATATTATAGAAAAAACGATTTTCTGTTAATATTAGTTTGCCGAAACCAAAACTTTTGCTCTGAAATCTTTCAATTCAAAATTTAAAAATGCGTGGCACTTGTTGATGTAAAATTTCCATCTGCGATATAACAAATACTGAAATGTTAAGTGAAGATTGCAATATCATCTCTTTCTTTTGGAAAATTTTGTTGATAAAATTCGAAATTTAAATACTGCTTCCTGCAGCAAGTAAAAATTGCCGAATGTAATTTTGCATTTAATACGATGGAAATCTAATAATCGCTTAATAATCGATAGAAATCTAATAATCGCATTTGTATGAAACTATTATCATTCAGTGTAGCTAACAAGAATTTAAAGAGTATAGTTGAATCAGAAACATTATGTGAAAAGGCTGCGGTTTTGTTATTATATGTGGTCATAGATCATACGGCTTACTAGAATGCATAAAAACGCTTCTTTCTGTTAATTTCATTACGTTTGGTAGGTTGTCTACTTAAAATATTTATCGAAAAGGTTTTGACGATTTCTACGTTCCATCACTTCCAAATCATGTTTGCATCATATTATTTGGTAGTGATTGCTTTACCGTTATATATCACGCAAATAACGGTATGTGATTAAGATATTGCTCTCAGTTTAGGAATTAAATACTCACAAAGTTTCTATTATAGCTGGAAACAAAAGCAGCTGCTTGCTGCAAAGGAAAATTGAATTTTTTATTTCTTATCCATTTCTTTTTAGTTCTAAATATTCGGTGTTTTGCAATCGTATCCTATAGTAAAAATCTAAGAGAAACGCAAAAAGCTTGTGTATCGAATCAAAGAATTATTTTTGTAACATTGAAAAACCATAATTAAACCAATAAACAAATTATTCAGAATTATTTCAGGTATCAAATGAAGGGAGCTTGACAATACAAGCAGGAATACGAAAGGACAAGGAAATAACGACTGTGGTTAGTGACAGTAAAGCAAAAGAAAAATGGTTCAAATGCGAGCTATGCGGTAAACAATTCAGACGTTCAGATACGCTAAAACGCCATATGAGGATACACACCGGTGAAAAAAACTACATGTGTAAGGTATGCGATAAGCAATTCGGATATGCAAGCAATCTGAAATGCCATATGACGATTCATACTAGTAAAAGAAATTACACATGTAAGCTATGCGATAAGCAATTTGGACAAGCAAACCGTCTGAAACGTCATATGGCAGCGATACATACTGCTGAAAAGAATTACACATGTATGCTATGTGATAAGCGATTCGGACATGCAAGCAGTCTGAAGCGTCATATGAGGATACATGCCAGTGGAAAAAATTACGTATGTAAGGTATGCAATAAAACATTCAATCAGCAAAAAACATTCAAGCAGCACAAATTGACGCATGAAAACGTGCGATTCGAATGTGAACAATGTGGCAAGAATTTCACTAAGTATTATTTGAAGGAACACATGAAAATACATAAAAGTTCGAGTGAAAAGCTATATTCCACAGCAAGCTCTTTAATGACATCGATAGCCGAAGATATCATTGACACGGAAATATTAATAATGGAAATTCTTGAATCCACAGGTATATAAATTACTGTTTCTGTCATTTATGCTTTATCCATTATTTCCTAATCGATTGGCTGAAGTTATTGATGAAATTGGATATAAATTTGAAATTGTAATTTGATGGAATTTCACATTGTATTCAATTTTTTGCACGAAATAAAAATCGTCTTCAAGTAAATAAAGTTCCAGTAATTATTGCTATCAGAAGTGCGTTCTCAAATATGAATGTCTGTAATTGCAAAATTAAGAATAATAAATGCATAATTAGTAAAATAGAACTTTTCGCTTTCATTAAGGAAATCTATGCAACAGTGACAGGAAAAAAAGATGTTATCATTAAAGGGACACTTCGAAATTAGTGAATATTCAAAACATTTGCGAAAAAACAGAAATTTACAATTGCGGTAATTATATAATTAGAATTAAAAATCATTATTGAAACGTTTAAGTTAATGCGGTCAGAAAGGTGTATGGAATTTTTTCAAACTTTTTATAAATCAATAACTTCCTTTTATTTTACCTGGCTCCAGATAATCTTCCATTTATTATATTTAACTATAGGTGCTGAGAAAACGCAAAATATCGAAACTTCCTGTAACAAATCGCAATTTTGATACAAATTAAAAAAGAAGCACTGAATTTAAATTATGTGAGCCCAATACAGTATGAAAATAAAATTTTCAATCAATAGTACAGAAAATTATTAACTATCATATCTGTTGCACTTAGAAAAAATGTCTGTTGCGAAATCTTTGCGAGCGATTGGCATTTCAAAAGTTTTCAACGAAGTAATAAAAATGGAAAAGTATTCATTTCATTAAGAAGTGAAAGCGGAAATTTGAAAATAATTTAAATGTTATCACTAAAAAATTTGTTCCTTTAGCAATCTTATAAATTTGAGAATCCAAGCAAAGGTCTGTTTCGAGCAATTTGATAATTATTATTCTTTATATAAGAGAATTGAGCGGTCATCTTTGCGATTAGTTTATCTTCTTCATCTTCATAGCCGTCTTTAATTTCCATTTTCCACTGTGGCTAATTTAATTCTTCGCCTTTCAGCCATAATAGTTTATAATTTTTCACTCTTTTAACCTTTTAGCTCTAGTTGTTTTATTGCATATAGGACGGCTCTTGTTGCGATAAATATTGCGGGTAATCATTTGTAATCAAGGTATACTTATATCTCTAATTGGTGTAATGCGAGATTTGGCAAAAGTCAAATATGCTTATTTCCTTCGATTTTGTGCATTCACAGCTGTTAGTATATTTCATTTGATACGTCAGTGAAGACATAAATTTGCATATCATTTCAGAAGGTTTTAGTGAATCGCAATAAATCATTTGGGGAAGAAATTAGAAGATAGATTTATGAGTGCATCCCATATTATTATATCTTCACTGAAAAATAATTTAAATCATAGGAACAAGAAATCCTGATGAATCGAAACATTTTCAATAATTTAGTCAGTCTACTCATGGCACTTATTTGATTCAAACATTTATTTAATTGCGATTATTGATTTGACAAAATTGATACTGGCATATTAAATTTGAACAACTCTTAAAAATTTATGTAAAAAAATGAATGCAATATGAAGTTCTATTAAATCATAATTCAAACCTTCCCATCCAATTTCATCAATCATTCAGCAATTCGATCAGGAAATAATGGACAAAACACAAATGACAGAAAATGTACAAATACAATTTAAGCCAACACAGTACAATAATTTATACACCTGTTAATGCAAGGATTTCCATTACTAATATTTCTGTATCAATGATATCATCGGCTATCGACATCATCAAGAAGCTCATTGTCGAATACAGCTTTTCACTTGAACTTTTATGTGCTTTCATATGTATTTTCAAATTATCCTTTCTAGTGAAATTCTTTCCACATTGTTTACATTCGAATCGCACGTCTTCGTGTGCCAATTTGTGTCGCAGCAGATTTGAAGGGTATTTGAATACTTTATCGCATTCGCCGCATTTCAATGTCCTTTTATCCATATGTATCTTCATATGGTTTTTCAGATGGTGACGCATTTTAAATATTTTATCGCACGTTTCACATTTGAATGGTCGTACTTCCTCGCACGTCGATTTCTTTTGATTCAGATACAGCTTTTCACCCGAACTTTTGTGTATTTTCATGTGTTCATTCAGATAATATTTTCGAGTGAAATTCTTACCGCATTGTTTACACTCGAATCGGACGTTTTCGTGCGTCCATTTGTGTCGCTGCAGGATTGAATGCTGATAGAAGGTTTTGTTGCATACCATACACATGTGATTTTTTTCACCGGTATGTATCATCATATGCCATTTCAGAGAGTTTGCACGTCCGTATTGCTTATCACATACCTTACACATGTAATTTTTTTCACCTTTATGTATCCTCACATGGCGCTTCAGAGAGCTTGCATGTCCGAATTGCTTATTACATACCTTACATATGTAGCTTTTTTCACCAGTATGTATCCTCATATGGCGTTTCAAAGTGTCTGAACGCCCGAATTGCTTATGACATATCCTACATATGTAGTTTTTTTCACCAGTATGTATCCTCATATGACATTTTAGAGCATCTCTATGTACGAATTGCTTACCGCATAGCTCACATTTGAGCCATTTTTCTTTTGCCTTACTGTCATTAGCTACAGCCGTTATTTCCTTGTCAGTTTTTATTCCTGCTTGTGTTGGCAGACTTCCATCATTTGATACCTGAAGAACGATTTGTTAATAGAATTGATTGTTGATTTTCAATATGAGAAAAAACATTCTGTGATTCAATGCACAAACTTTTTGCGTTTCACTTTTGTTTTTGCTATAGGATATGACCGCAAAGCACCGAATATTTGAAAGTGGCAGGGAAATAGATATGAAATGATAAAGTTTAATTTTCCTTTGCAACAAACAGCTGCTTTTGTTTCTAGCTAAAATGAAAACTTTGTGAGTATTTAATTTCCTTACTGAGAGCAATATCTTACTCACATACCGTTATTTGCGTGATATATAACGGCAAAGCTATCGCTATCAAATAACATAGGGCCAACATAATTAGGAAGTGATGGAACGTAGAAACCGTCACTACCTTTTCGATAAATATTCTTAGCAGACAACCTACCAAACGTAGTGAAATTAACAGAAGGAAGCGTTTTTATGCATTCTAGTAAGCCGTATGATCTATGACCATATAAAATCACAAAACCCTAGGCTTTTCACATAATGAACTTGATTCCACTATACCCTAAAACTTTTTGTTTGTTACACTGAATGATTAATAGTACCATACAAATGCGATTATAAAATTTCTATCGATGTATTAAATGCAAAATTATCGTCAAAAACTTTTGTCAAAACGTCAAAAAGAAATCGTCGAAACTTTTTCAAAACTATTCTCAGCAGACAGCCAGCCAAACAAAGTGGAATTAACACAGGTTTTCGGCAAAAAAATATTTGAATATTATCTGTTTCATATTTTCCGCCTTCGATTTTGTTCTGTGATTTTATTATTTATTACATTATTGTGCAAACTCATCCAATGATTCATCCAAACCGAGTTCAAAACAACAAATTTAAACAATGCTGTGAATTGTAATCGCATTTGTATGATACTGTTATAATTCAATGTTAGAGTTAGTGGAGTCAGAATTGCTATGCAAAGGACCGGGGTTTTAGATTATATTTAGCCATGAATCATACGGCTTACCCGAATGCATAAAAACAGTTCGCTCTGGCAGATGTCACTTCGTTTGGCAAGTTGTCTGCTAAAAAATATTTTTCGAAAAGTTTTTGGCGATTTCTACGTTCCATCACTTCCCAATCATGTTTGCATCATATTATATGGTAGTGATCGCTTTGCCGTTGTATATCGCGCAAACTACGGTATGTGAATATTGCTCACAGTATAAGAATTATGTTTCCACATAGATTACTTTAGCTGAAGATAAAAACCGCTGTTTCTTGTGAAGGAAAATAAAATTTTTCATTTTTCATCTATATTCCTGTTACTTCTAAATATTCGGTGTTTTGCGATCATATCCTATAGCAATAATCCAAAATGAAATGCAAAGGGCTTTGTGCATTGAATCACAGAATCATTTTTGTAACATTCAAAAACTTTAATCAAACTTATAAACAAATTATTTAAGATTCTTTCAGGTATCGAATGAAGGAAGTTTGCCGATACAGGCCGGAATAGGAAATGACAGGAGAACAACGACTGTGGCTAATGACAGTAAGGAAAAAGAAAAATGGTTCAAATGTGAGGAATGCGATAAGCATTTCGGACGTGCAGGCACTCTGAAACGCCACATGAGGACACACACCGGTGAGAGAAACTATATGTGTAAGACATGCGATAAACAATTCCGATACGCAAGCAATCTGAAATGCCATATGACGTTGCATACTGGTGAAAAGAATTACATGTGTAAGCTATGCGATAAGCGATTCGGACGTTCAAGCATTCTGAAGCGCCATATGAGGATGCACACCGGTGAAAGAAATTACACATGTAAGATATGTGATAGGCAATTTAGGCAAGCAAACCATCTGAAATTTCATATGAGGGTACATACCAGTGAAAGAAATTACGTATGTAATGTATGCAGTAAAACATTCAATCAGCAAAAAACATTCAATCAGCACAAATTGGAGCACGAAAACGTACGATTCAAATGTAAACAATGCGGTAAGAATTTCACTCGAAAGTTTAGTTTTGTAAAACATATGAAAATGCATGACAATTCGGGTGAAAAGCTGTATTCGACAGCGAACTCCTTAATTGCATCGATAGCAGAAGATATCATTGACACGGAAATATTAATAATGGAAATTCTTGAATTCACAGGTATATAAATTATTGTATTATGTTGGCTTAAATTGTATTTGTACATTGTTTTCTGTCATTTGTGCTTTGTCCATTATTCCCTGATCGAATGGTTGAAGTGATTGCTGAAATTGGATACAAATTTTAAATTATAATTTGATAGAATTTTGAATTGTATTCATTTTTTCACATGAAATAACTATTCTCTTAAAGTATACAAAATTTCACTAGTTATAACTGTCAGAATTGCGTTCCCAAATATGAATTCTATAACTGCAAAATTAAGAATGACAAATTAATTAGTAGAATGAAACTTTTCGCTTTTATTAAAGAAGTCCAATTTGACAGTGACAGGAAATGAAGATATCATTAATGTTACATTTCGAATTCGTGAATAATCAAAATATTTGCGAAAAACACAGAAATTTTAATTTTGGTAATTATATTTAAGAATTATTAATCATTATGGGTACTACAAAATTAATAAGATCGGAGAGGTGCAAAATATTGAGAAAGTGCCAAATATCGAAACTTCCTGCGGCAAATTACAATTTTAATTTAGTGTATTATTTTGAATTGGTGCATCATCTAATACGATCAAATGTTTAAAATCAAACTAATTTGAAATATTACTTTTTGCGACATGCAATATCTTGAAGCCTACAATACATTCAGTACACATTGCACGTCACTTTTTTCCTGAAGCATTTTCAGACCTTCAGCATGATTAAGCTTTAACAAAATGAATTCAATTCGGTTCATTTCTTTAATTTGTCTTAAATACTCATAGTAATTAGAAATCTAAATCTTTTTCAGTTTTCTTATGGCATTCATTTGATTCAAACATTTATTTAAACATTTATTTCACTGCGGACAAAATTGATAACAAAGAGAATATTGGCATAGTAAATTTAAGCTTAATTAAAATTTAAATTAAATATTAAAATTAAACAACACATCAAAATTCGTGTGAAAAAATGAAACCAAAAAATGAAACCGAAATTCTATATATCAATATTTTCCATTCAATTCATCAATCACTTCCATCATTCGATCAGCAAATAATGAACAAAGCATAAACGACAGAAGAAATATATACACATATTATATACATATATACACATTATATACAGAAGAAATATATACACATATTATATAAGCTAATACAGCGCAATAATTTATATCCCTGCGAATGCAAGAATTTCCATTAATAATATTTCCGTGTCAATGATATCTTCTGCTATCGACTTTATTAAGGAGCTCACTGTCGAATGCAACTTTTCATTTGAACTTTTATGTATTTTCATGTGTTCCTTCAAATAATCATCTTGAGTGAAATTTCTACCACATTGCTTACATTCGAATCGCATGTCGTCGTGTGCTAATTTGTGTCGCTGCAGGATTGAATGCTGATTGGATGTTTTATTGCGTACCTTACATATGCAGTTTTTTTCACCGGTATGTATCGTCATATGGCGTTTCAGAGTACTTGCAAGTCCGAACTGCTTATCACATACCTTACATGTGTAGTTTTTTTCACCGGTATGCATCCTCATATGGTATTTCAGAGTGTCTGAACGTCTGAATTTCTTATCACATACCTTACATATGTAGCCTTTTTCACCGGTATGTATCCTAATATGGCATTTCAAAGAGTTTGCATGTCCAAATTGCTTACCACATACCTTACATATGTAATTTTTTTCACCGGTATGTATCGTCATATGGCGTTTCAGAGTACTTGCAAGTCCGAACTGCTTACCTTACATGTGTAGTTCTTTTCACCGGTATGTATCCTAATATGGCATTTCAAAGAGTTTGCATGTCCAAATTGCTTACCACATACCTTACATATGTAATTTTTTTCACCGGTATGTATCGTCATATGGCGTTTCAGAGTACTTGCAAGTCCGAACTGCTTATCACATACCTTACATGTGTAGTTTTTTTCACCGGTATGTATCTTCATATGGTATTTCAGAGTGTCTGAACGTCCGAATTGCTTATCACATACCTCACATATGAACCATTTATCTTTTTCCTTACTGTCATTAGCCACAGTTGTTATTTCCTGGTCACTTCCTATTCCTGTTTGTATTGGCAGACTCCCATCATTTGACACCTGAAATAATCCTAAATAATTTGTTTAGAGATTTCATTAATGTTTTTCAATGTAACAAAAATAATTCTGCGATTCAATGCACAAAATTTTGTTTCACTTTTTTACTACAGTATATGTTGACAAAACACCGAATATTTGGAAGTAACAGGGAAACATATAAGAAATGAATAGTTCAATTTTCCTTTGCAACAAGCAGCTGCTTTTATTTCCAACTACAATAGAAACCTTGTTAATATTTAATTTCTATACTGAAACCAATATCTTATTCACATACCGTTATTTGCGTGATATATAATGGCAAAGCGATCACTACTATATAATATGATGCAAACATGACTGGAAAATAATGGAACGTAGAAATCGCCTTAGCAGACAAGTTACAAAACTTTTGTCCTTAGCAGACAGGTTACAAAGCTACAAAATGTAGTGAAATTAACAGAGGGAACCATTTTTATGCATTCCAGTAAGCCGTATGATCTATGACCAAACATAATCACAAAACCCCGGTCTTTTCACATAATAATTTTGACTTCACTACGCTCGAAATCTTCTTGTCAGTTGCACTGAATGATAATAGTTTTATACAAATGCGATTGCAATTGGCAGTATTGTTCAAAATTCTGTCCAACTCGGATTAGATGAATTCATTGAAAGAATCTGCACAATAATCTAATGTCTAAACATATTCAAAAAAACGATGAATCATTGCTATTTTAGAAATACAAAATTTTAGATTATTTATAATTCTTAAAATTTGAACTAATTGCCACTAAATTGCCTTGCCGTTGTATATATCGCACAAATAACGGTATGTTGAAGAAAGTATTTCGCTCAGTTTAGTTTTGTATGAATTGATTTTCGAATGACTGAAGTAAAACCAGAAATCATAAAAAGATTATTTTAAGTATTTTCGCTTCTATTATTTTATCATGTTTTTCTAACATACATATAATATTACTTTTCGATGAAATAAGGCTTTTTAAATTTCGGCAATAAAACGATATAGTCTGTTTCATATTTTTTCGAATTGAAACGATTCACTTCTTCTGTTTTGTTACTTTATTATTATTATTATTAACATTTCTAAAGTTAAACTGAAAATAGCGGATAAGAAAAGTGATTTAAAGGATAGGAAAGAAGTGGAAAGGATAAACGAACATTTATTGTTTATTATGGAAAAAAAAAACGATTTTCTGATTTTTCAATTATTAATTATTTAATTAATCAATTTAGAGCTTTCAAAATTTAGTTCATGATACGTTGCATAATTTAGGCAATTCATTTAATTTCGTTCGTGATTTTATTTACACCATTTTTTTTACCCGTAACACTACTTTATTTGATTCAAAATTTAAAGAGAGAAATGAAAGTACGAGAAAAACCGATACTGGATAATTTTACAACTTTTCCGGATTGAATAATTTCAAAAAATTTCAGTTTTCTTTTAAATGGCATAAAATAAAACGGAAATTGTAGCAAAACGAAAATTAATAAATGATAATCGTGGACGACGAAGTCTGAAGTAAACGTTGCACAAACACGAAAAAATATAACTAAATGAAAATTGAGTTTTTAAATCTAAGTTTCATTTTTATCCATAAGTTTCTGTTATTACCTTTTATTCATTCATATATATTTTTACATATTTCCAAATACTATTCATTGTAGTGTCCATATTTCAAGAATTTCAAATAATTTCAATAATTCCAATGATTTCATTTCATTCAGAGTTGGAAAGATTTGGTGACAGTTCTGGACAATGCTGCCAGTTGTAATCGTATTTGCATGAAACTATTGTCATTCAATGTATCTAACAAAAAATTTTGGAGTATCGTGAAGTTCTGCGTTATTATTATTCGAAAAGACCGGGGTTTTGAATTATATTCGGTCATAGATCATACGGCTTACCGGAATGCATAAAAACGGTTCCCTCTGTTAATGTCACTTCGCTTGGTTATTTGTTTGCTAAAAATATTCTTCGAAAAGGCTTTGACGATTTGAACGTTCCATCACTTTCCAATCATGTTCGCATCAAATTATATGGTAGTGATTGCTTTACCGTTATATATCACGCAAACAACGGTATGTGAACATTGCTTTCAATATAGAAATTAAGTTTCCACAAAGTTTTTTATTTCAGCTGAAGATAAAAACAGCTGTTTCTCGTGAAGGAAAATTAAACTTTTCATTTCTTATCTATTTCCCTGCCACTTCCAAATATTCAGTGTTTTGCGATCATATCCTATAGCCAAAACGGAAGCGAAGCAATAAAATTTTGTGCATCGAATCACAGAATCATTTTCATTACATTGGAAAACAATAATCAAATCTATTAACAAATTATTTAGGATTATTTCAGGTATCAAATGATGAGAGTCTGCCAATACAAGCAGTAAGAAGAAATAACAAGGAAATAACGACTGTGATTAATGACAGTAAGGCAAAAGAAAAGCGGTTCAAATGCGGAGTATGCGATAAGCTATTCGAACGTGGAAGTCATCTGAAATGCCACATGAGGATACCGGTGAAAAAAACTACACATGTAAGACATGTGATAAGCAATTCAGGCATGCAAGCACTTTGAGATGCCATATGACGATACATACCGGTGAGAAAAACTACATATGTATGGTATGCGATAAGCAATTCGGACATGCAAGCTCTCTGAAATGCCATGTAAGGGTACATACCGGTGAGAAAAATTACATATGCGAGGTGTGCAATAAAACATTCAACCAACATTCAAACCTGCATCGACACAAATTGGCGCACGAAAACGTGCGATTCGAATGTAAGCAATGTGGTAAGAATTTCACTCGAAAGTATAATTTGAAAGATCACATGAAAATGCATAGAAGTTCGAATGAAAAGCCGTATTCGACAGTGAGCTCCTTAGCGTCATCGATAGCAGATATCATTGACACCGAAATATTTATACAAGAAATCATTGCATTCACAAGTGTTTAAATTATTGTATTGTATTGGCCTAAATTATATTTGTAAATTCTTCTCTGTCATTTGTGCGTTGTCCATTATTTCCTGATCGAATGCCGAAAGTGATTGACGAAATTGGATATGATTTTTAAATTTGATAGAAGTTCATATTGCATTCATTTTTTCGTAATCGATTTATCGCGATTCGCTGCAACCTTCTGAAATGATATGCAAATTTATGTCTTCACTGATGCATCGAATGAAGTTACCAACAGCTGTGAATGTGCAAAATCAAGGAAAGAAATATATTTGACCTTTGCAAGCTTAACATATTTGAAACATATTTGATTCAAAAATGTACGAACTGCTTTATGGCCAGATTCCCAGTGTGCATCACATAGAATCATTTTGGACAACTTGTCTCTGAAGATTAATAATATGAACAAACATGCAGACTAATTACTTTCTATACAATTTAATGAAAATTTATTCACATTTTTCGTATTATATCGGGTTCACATAAATTAAATTATGTGCCACTTTCTTCAGTTTATATTAAAATTGCAATTTGTTGCAGAAAGTTTCGATATTTGGCATTTTCTCAATAATTTCCTTTCTTTTATTTTACCTTACTTATTATATACACCTAATTATAGGTAAAATAAAAGGAAGGAAATTATTGAGTTACATTTATAATAAGCTTGTGAAAATTATACTTTGCATCTTTCTGGCCGTATTAATTTAATGGTTCCCATAATTGATTATTAATTCATGTATAAAATTACCGCGATTGTAAATTTCTATGTTTTTTCACAAATATTTTGAATATTCACTAATTTCGAAATGTCGCTTTAATAATAGTATCTTTCTTCCTGTTACTGTTGCATGAAACTTCTTTAATGAAAGCGATAAGTTTTGCTTTCCTATTTATGTATTTATTATTCGTAATTTTGCTGTTATAGAATTTATATTTGAGAATGCAATTCTGACAGTTATAATTACTGAAATTTTGTTTACTTTGAGAGGAGTTTTATTTGTAAGTAAAATTTTTAATGAACTCTAATTTTAGCTGATTCAAGACAATTTTAACCATGATTTCTCTTCAACCAGCTATAATCATAAATTCGGTGAAATCGTTCGAGTTTCTATCTACGATAATACTTTCCCCTTCCACCCGTCTCTTATGCTTATTTTGAATTTTAAATTAGAGCTTTAACATTTTTGATACCCATTTTGCCAAATAAGATCAGAAATCAATTGCTTAATTTTTCTATCAATAATCATCTCGAATTTACTTAAACATAATTGAGGATACATACCATACGAGGATACATACTGGTGACAAAAACTATGTGTGTAAGGGGTGCAACAAAACATTCAATCAGCTTTCAAATATGAAGATTCACGAATTGACACACGAAAACGTTCAACCATTCAAACGTAAACAGTGTGGTAAGAATTTCATTCGGAAGGGTAATTTGAAAAAACACGTGAATATACACAAAAGTTCGAATGAAAAGCTGTATTCTACAACGGACGATCTGAATCGAAACAAATCGACGCACGAGGAAGCACGACGATTCAAATGTGAAAGGTGCGATAAAGCTTTCAAAAAGCGCCATCATCTGGAACAGCATATGAAGACGCATGTGGACAAAAAACACTGAAATGCGGCGAATGCGATAAAGTATTCAAATACCCTTCAAATCTGCAGCGACACAAATGGAGGCATGAAGACGTGCGATTCGAATGTAAACAATGTGATCAGAATCTCACCCGAAAGGATTATTTGAAAGAACACATGAAAATAGATAAAAATTCGAGTGAAAGCTGTATTCGACAGTAAGCGCCTTAAAAATTCGATAGCAGAAGATATCATTGACACGGAAATATTAATAATGGAAATTCTTGAATCCACAGGTATATAAATTATTGTATTATGTTGGCTTAAATTATATTTGTACATAGTTTTCTGTCATTTGTGCTTTGTCCATTATTTCCTGATCGGATGGCTGAAGTGATTGATGAAATTGGATATAAATTTTAAATTATAATTTGATAGAACTTCATATTGCATTCATTTTTTCACATGAATTTTAATGTGTAATTTGAATTTAATATGCCAATATTCTCTTCGCTGTCAATATTGTCTAATCAATTAATCAATTATCGCAGTTAAATAAATGGTTTAAATGTGAATATGCGATAAGTAATTCGTACGTGTAGGCACTCTGAAACATCATATAAGGATACAAACCAGTGAAGAAAACCGTATATACAAGTATGCGATAGGCAATTCGTATGTGCAAACACTCTCAAATGCCATATGAAGAAACATACCGGTAAAAAAAATTGCATACCTAAGGTATGTGATAAGCATTTCCGACATGCAAACTTCTCTGAAATGCCTCAGAAATCTTTCTTTCTGTTGCTGTTGTATAGAACTTCTTTAGTGAACGCGATGCTATATTTTACTAATTATGCATTTATTGTTCCTAATTTTTTCAGTTATAGAATTCATATTTGAGATCCCACTTCTGATAGTAATAATTACTGGAACTTCATTTACTTAAAGAGGATTTTTATTTCATGCGAAAAAATGAATACAATGCGAAATTCTATCGAATTATAATTTAAAATTTATATCCAATTTCATCAATAACTTCAGCTTCTCATCAGGGAATAATGGACAAAGCACAAATGACAGAAAACAATGTACAAATACATTTTAAGCCAATACAATACAATAATTTATATACCTGTGAATTCAAGAATTTTCATTATTAATATTTCTGTGTCAATGATATCTTCGGCTATCGATGTCATTAAAGAGCTTGCTGTAGAATATAGCTTTTCACTTGAACTTTTATGTATTTTCATGTGTACCTTTAAACAATCCTTTTGAGTGAAATCCTTACCACATTGTTTACATTCGAATCGCACGTTTTTGTGCATTAATTTGTGCCGCTGCAAATTTGGGAGGCATTTGAATGCTTTATCGCATTCGCTGCATTTCAGTGTCTTCTCGTTCATATGCGTCTGCATATGGTATTTCAGATGGTGACGCATTTTAAACGCTTTATCGCACATTTCGCATTTGAATGGTCGTGCTTCCTCGTATGTCGATTTGTTTGAATTCAGATCGCGCGTTGTAGAATACAGCTTTTCACTCGAACTGTTGTGTATTTTCATGTGTACTTTCAAATTATCCTTTCGAGAAAAATTCGTACCACACTGTTTACATTCGAATCGCGCCTTTTCGTGCGTCAATTTGTGTCTCTGAAGAGCTGAACGGCAATTGAATGCTTTTCCGCATAAGTTGCATTTCTCTGTCTTTTCGTCCATATGTGTCTTTATATGGTTTTTCAGGCGGTAGCGCATTTTAAAAGCTTTATCGCACATTTCACACTTGAAACGTCGTACTTCCTCATGCGTCGATTTGTTCCGATTCAGATCGCCCGAGGTTGCATACAGCTTTTCACTTGAACTTTCATGCATTTTCACATGTTTTTTCAAATTACTGCTCCAAATGAAATTCTTACCACGCTGTTTACATTTTAATGATCGTACGTTTTTATGTGTCAGTTCGTGTATCTTCATATTTGAGAGCTGATTAAATGTTTTGTTGCATACCTTACATATAGCTTTTCTCACCGGTATGTATCCTCATATGTCGTTTTAGAATGTCTGCACGTCCGAATTGCTTATCGCATATCTCACATTTGAACCATTTATCTTTTTCCTTACTGTCATTAGCCACAGTTGTTATTTCCTTGCCATTTCCTATTCCTGCCCGTATTGGCAGACTCCAATCATTTGATACCTGAAATAATCCTAGATAACTTGCTTATAGATCTGATTATTGTTTTTTCAATGCAACAAAAATGGTTCTGTGATACTGCATTTCGCTTTGGTTTTTGCTATAGAATATGATCGCAATGCACCGAATATTTTTGAAAGTTACAGGGTTATAGATAAGAAATGACGAAATTCAATTCTCCTTTGCGGGAAGAAGCTGCTTTTGTTTCTAACTAAAATAGAAACTTTGTGAGTATTTAGTTTCTATACTGAGAGCAATATCTTATTCACATACCGTTGTTTGCGTGATATATAACGGTAAAGCAATCACTACCAAATAATATGATGCAAACATGATTTGGAAGTGATGGAACGTAGAAATCGTCAAAACCTTTTCGAAAAATATTCTTAGCAGACAATCTGCAAAACGTAGTGAAATTATTAGAGGGAACCGTTTTTATGCATTCCAGTAAGCCGTGTGATCTATGACCAAATGTAATCACAAAATCCCGGTCTTTTCACATAATTTTGACTACGCTCTAAATTTTCTTGTTCGTTACAATGAATGATAACTCTTTCATGCAAATGGGATTACAACCGGCAGCATTGTCCTGAACTGTCACTAAATCTTTCCAACTCTGAATGGAACGAAATCATTGGAAGAGTCTGCACAATAATCTATTGTGTAAGCATCAACAAGAAACGATGAAACGATAAGATTTGAATTATTTCCAAATTTCCGTTTTTACTTCTTAATGAAATGTAATTAAAAATTTATAAAAAACTCACGAACGGAAGATCGGTAATTTTCCATTTTTATTATTTTGTTGAAAAATTTTGAAATGTCAATCGCTCGCAAAGATTTTGCAACAGACATTTTATTTGCGTTTACAAATATGAAAGTTAATTATTTTCTATACTACTGGTTTAAAATTTACTTATATTTTTCATACTATATTGGGTTCACATAATTAAAATTCAGTGCTTCGTTTTTAGTTTGCATTAGAATTGCAATTTGTTGCAGGAAGTTTCGATATTTGGCATTTTCTCAATAATTTTCTACCTTTTACTTTATCTAACTATTTATATACACCTAATTATAGGTAAAATAAAAGCAAGAAAATTATTGAATCATATTTATAAAAAGTTTGAGAAAATTTTACCTTGCACCTTTCTGACCGCATTAATTTAAAAGTTTCAATAACGATTTTTAGTTCTAATTATATAATTACAGCAGTTGTAAATTTCTGTTTTTCGCAAATGTTTTGAGCATTCACTAATTTCGAAATGTCGCTTTAATGTTAACACCTTTCTTCCAGTTACTGTTGCATAGAACTTCTTTAGTGAAAGCGATAAGTTTTATTTTACTAATTATGCATTTATTATTCCCAATTTTACAATTACATTCATATTTGAGAACGCACTTCTGATAGTAATGAAAACTGGAACCTTGTTTACTTGAAGAGGATTTCTATTTCATGCGAAAAAAATGAATACAATGCGAAATTCTATCAAATTATAATTTAAAGTTCATATCCAATTTCATCAATAACTTCAACCATTCGATCAGGAAATAGTGGACAAGCCATAAATGGCAGAAAACAATGTACAAATGCAATTTAAGCCAACACAATACAATAATTCAAGGATTTTCATTAATAGCATTTGAATTCAAGGATTTTCATTATTAATATTTCCGTGTCAATGATATCTTCGGCTATCGATGTCATTAAAGAATTTACTGTAGAATAGAGCTTTTCACTTGAACTTTTATGTATTTTCATGTGTTCTTTCAAATAATCCTTTCGAATGAAATTCTTACCACACTGTTTACATTCAAATCGTACGTTGCCGTGCGTCAATTTGTGTCGCAGCAGATTTGAACGGTATTTGAATACCTTGTCGCATCCATTGCATTTCAGTGTCCTTTCGACCATATGTGTCTTCATATGGCGTTTCAGATGGTGACGCTCTTTAAATGCTATATCGCACCTTTCACATTTGAATGGTCGTACTACCTTGTGCGTCGATTTGCTTCGATTTAGATCGTCCGATGTAGAATACAGCTTTTCACTCGAACTTTCATGCATTTTAACGTGTTTTTTCAAACTTTCCGTTCGAGCGAAATTCTTACTACATTGCTTACATTTGAATCTCACATTGTCGTGTGTCAGTTTGTGTCGCTTCAGGCTTGAATGCTGATTGAATGTTTTGTTGCATACCTTACACATGTAATTTTTTTCACCGGTATGTATCCACAAATGATATTTCAGATGGTGTGCTTGTCTAAATTCCTTATTGCATATCTTACATCTGTATTTTTTTTCACCGGTATGCATCCTCATATGGCACTTCAGAATACTTGAACGTCCGAATCGCTTATCGCATAGCTTACACGTGTAATTCTTTTCGCCAGTATGTATCGTCATATGGCATTTCAGATTGCTTGCATATGCGAATTGTTTATCGCATTCCTTACACATGTAGATTTTTTCACCGGTATGTATCCTCATATGGCGTCTCAGATTGTCTGCACGTCCGAATTGCTTATCGCATACCTCACATTTGAACCATTTTTCATTCGCCTTACTGTCATTAGCCACAGTCGTTATTACCTTGTCATTTCTTATGTCTGCTTGCATTGGCAGATTTCCATCATTCGATACCTAAAATAATCCTTAGTAATTTGTTTATAACTTTGACTATTGTTTTTCAATGAGACAAAAATGATGCTGTGATTCAACGCACAAGTCTTTTGCATTTCACTTTGGTTTTTACTATAAGATACAATGACAAAACACCGAACATTTGGAAGTTACGGGTAATGGACAAGAATTGAAAAATTTAAATTTCCTTCAAAGCAAGCAGCTGTTTTTATCTTATGCTAAAATAAACTTTGTGGAAACTTAATTTCTCTATTGGGAGCATTATTCACATACCGTTATTTGCGCGATATACAACGGCAAAGCAATCACTACCATATAATATGATGCAAACATGACTGGAAAGTGGTGGAATGTAGAAGTCGTCAAAGCCTTTTGAAAAAATATTTTTGGCAGGCAATTCAGCAAATGTAGTGAAATTAGCAGAAGGAACTGCTTTTATGCATTCCAGTAAGCCGTATGATCTATGATCAAATATAATCCAAAACCCCGGTCTTTTCACATAATAATTTGAACTCCATCACACTATACAGTTTTTTGTTAGTTACGCTGAATGATAATTCTTTCATAAAAATGCGATTACAGCTGGCAGCATTGTTGACAATTGTTCTATATTTTATTCACATATCGTCATTTGTGCGATATAAAACGGCAAAGCAATTTAATTTCAAATTTTATATTTTAAAGTGCTTCATCGTTTCTTGTTAATGCTTACACATTAGATTATTGAGCAGACTCTTCCAATGATTTCATTCTATTCCGAGTTGGCTCTCAGTATAGAAATAAATACAAAGTTTCTATTTTAGCTGGAAACAAAAGCATTCAGTGACAGTTCTGGACAATGCTGCCAGTTTTAATCGCATTTGTATGAAACTATTGTCGTTCAATGTACCTAACCTAATTCAATGTCATTTATACTTCCTAATTCAATGTCATTTATACTTCGTCCAATATCTCCTGATCGAGCGGCTGAAGTGGTTGATGAAATTGGATGGAAGGTTTTGAGTTATGATTTAATAGAACTTCATATTGCATTCATTTTTTCACACGAATTTTTATGTTGTATAAATTTACTATACCAATATGTGCCGCGCACCTAAAATAAATAACAGCATTTAAATATCGAACTTCATTAATATATTTCTTCCAGCGTTGAGATGGTAATCTTCACTTAACATTTTAGCTTATGTTGCGGCATAGAAGGAAAATTTAGAAAATTTCACTTTTCTATTTCATTTATTCCACCCTTTTTTTGTCTGTCTTTTTCCGCCTAACTGTAGACATGCAAAAATATTAAAGTAACAGAATAAAATCGAAGGCGGAAAAATGAAACAGACAATATTCAGATATTTTAGTGCTGAAATATAAATAAGCCTTATTTCATCGAAAAGCAGTATTCTATGTGTGTTATGGTATCCGTAGTTAAAAAGACACGATAAATAAAAGCAATGATATTAAAAATAATCGTTTTTTTCATGTTTTATGAATAAAAATTACAATGCGAAAAGATCGGAGATTTGGATTGTATTTGGCCACAGATCATATGGCTTATTGGAATGCATAAAAACAGTTCCTTCTGTTAATTCCACTTTGTNAATAAGCCTTATTTCATCGAAAAGCAGTATTCTATGTGTGTTATGGTATCCGTAGTTAAAAAGACACGATAAATAAAAGCAATGACATTAAAAATAATCGTTTTTTTCATGTTTTATGAATAAAAATTACAATGCGAAAAGATCGGAGATTTGGATTGTATTTGGCCACAGATCATATGGCTTATTGGAATGCATAAAAACAGTTCCTTCTGTTAATTCCACTTTGTTTGGCAAGTTGTCTGCTGAGAATATTTTCCGAAGAATTTTGTCCATTTCTACGTTTCATCACTTTCTAATCATGTTGGCCTTATGTTATTTGATAGTGATTGCTTTGCCATTATATATCACGCAAATAACGGTATGTGAATATTGCTCTTAGTATAGAAATTAGGTTTCCACAAAGTTTTTTTTAGTTGAAAACAAAAACGGCTACTTTCTACAAAGGAAAATTGAATTTTTTATTTCTCATCTATCCCCCTGTTCTAAATGCATTGCGATCATATCCTATAGCAAAAACAAAAGTGAAACACAAAAAGTTTGTGCATTGAATCACAGAATCATTTTTATTGCATTGAAAAACCATAGTCAAATCTATAAGCAAAAATTATTAAGGATAATTTCAGGTATCAAATGATGGGAGACCAATACAACCAGGAATAGGAAATGACCAGGAAATAACCACTGTAGCTAATGGCAGTATGGCAAAAGAATGGTTCAAATGTGAGGTATGTGACAAGCAATTCGGACGTGCAAGCACTCTGAAACGCCATATGACGATACACACCGGCGAAAAAAACCACATATGCAACGTATGCAATGAGCAATTCAGATATGCAGGCAATCTGAAAAGCCATATGAGGATACACACCGGCGAAAAAAACCACATATGCATGGTATGCAATAAGCAATTCGGACATTCAAACAATCTGAAACGTCATATGACGATACACACCGGCGAAAAAAACCACATATGCAAGGTATGCGACAAGCAATTCGGATACGCGGGCAATCTGAAATGCCATATGTGGATACATACCGGTGAAAAAAGCTACACATGCAAGGTATGCAATAAACAATTCGGATATGCAGGCAGTCTGAAGTGCCATATGAGGATACATACCGGCGAACAAAACTTCACATGCAAGGTATGCGATAAACAATTCGGATATGCATGCAATCTGAAATGCCATATGACGACACATACTGGTGAAAGGAATTACGCATGTAAGGTATGCCAAAAAACGTTCAAACAGTCCAACCATCTGAAGAAACACGGATTGACGCACAGAAACGTACAAAGTTCGAATTTCACTCGAGCAGATAATTTGAACGAACACATGAATATGGATAAAAGTTCGAGTGAAAAGCTGTATTCGACAGTGAGCCCCTTCATGTCGGTATCAGAAATCATCGACACAGAAATGTTAATAAGAGAAATTGTTGCATTCATGGGTACATAAATTATTGTATTGTTTTGACTTAAATCATATTTGTACATAGTTTTCTGTCATCTGTGCTTTATCCATTATTTCCTGATCGAATGGCTGAAGTTATTGATGAAATTGGATATAAATTTTAAATTATAATTTGATAGATTGCTTTCATTTTTTCGCATGAATTTTTACGTGTTGTTTAAATTTGATATGCCAATATTCTCTTCGTTATCAATTTTGTTAATTAATTATCGCAGTGAGATAAGTGTTTAAATAAATGTTTGAATCAAATGAATATCATTAGAAAACTGAAAAAGATTTAAATTTTTAAATATGTTTTATTTTCCGAAAGATTCAAAATTTGAAACTATTTAGTTGAGTCATCCCTTAGTTGAATCAAAAAAGGACGAAAAACTTATTATGACTGAGAAATTATCGCAGATGGTATTGTTACTCATACCATTTCATCGAATTCATGATTACGGCTGATTGCAACGAAAACATCGTTAAAATTTGCTTAAGTTAGCTAATACTATAGTTGATGAAGAGGATATAATTTTAGTAGTTATTACCATCAGAATTGCGTTCTCAAATATGAATGTCTGTAATTGCGAAATTAAGAATAACAAATACATAATTAGTAAAATAAAACTTTTCGCTTTCATTAAAGAAGTCCTATTTGACAGTAACAGGAAAATAGATATTATCAATAAAGGAGTACTTTGAAATTAATGAATATTCAAAGCAAAAACGCGGAAATATGCAATTTTGGTATTTATATAATAGAATTAACAATCATTATGAGAACTACGAAATTAATACGGTTAGAAAGATGCAAGGAATAATTTTCTCGAACTTATTATAAATGTAACTGCATAATTCACTAGCTTTTATTTTACCTAACTCTAGGAAATCTTTCCTCTATTTCACATTACTATGAGAAAGTGCCAAATGTCGAAATTTCCCTTTACAAACTCAAAAAGAAGCAGAAAATTTAAATTATGTGAACCAAATATAATATGAAAAGTGCGGGATAAAAGCTTATCGTCAATCTTTTGTCACAAATTACGAGAAAAATCATTTTCTAAGAAAAATCAATAATTCTACATATTCTGAGAAAAATCAATAATTCTACATATTCTGAGAAAAATCAATAATTCTTCATATTTCATAAAACATGAAGAATTTCCACTGGCATATTCTATGCAATAAAATGAATTGTTAATTTTTCAAAAAAAAAAGCAAAAAAGGATAATTATCCGAGTTGCAAAAATTTGGTGACAATTCTGGACAATGATGTCAGTTATAATCGCATTTGTATGAAACTGTTATTATTCAATGAAACGAGCAAAAAATTTTAAAGTGTAATCGAGTCAAAATTAAAATGCGATAAGACCGGGGTTTTGGATTATATTTGATCATAGATTATCAGCTTACCGAAATGCATAAAAGCGGTTCCCTCTATTAATTTCACTTCATTTGGTGGATTGTCCGCTAAAAATATTTTCCGAAAAGTTTTAACAATTTCTACGTTCCATCACTTCCCAATCATGTTTGCATCATATTATATGGTAGTGATTGCTTTGCCGTTATATGTCACGCAAATAACGGTATGTGAGTAAAATATTGCTCTCAGAATTAGAATTTAAATACTGAAAAAGTTTCTATTTTATCTCGAAGCAAAAGCAGTTGCTTCCTGCAAAGAATAATTGAATTTTTATTTATTACGTATTTCCCTGTAACTTTTAAATATTCGGTGTTTTGTGATCATATTCTATGTCAAAAACAAGAGTGAAATGCAAGAGGTTTGTGCATCGAGTTACAGAATCATTTTTGCCACATTGAAAAATATCAATCAAGCCTATAAATAAATTGTTTAAGATTATTTCAGATATCAAACGATGGTAGTCTGCCAATACAAGCACAAGCAAATAATGTAAGAAATGACAAGCAAATAATGACCGTGGCTAATAACACTAATGCAAAAGAAAAATGGTTCAAATGTAAGACATGTGATAAGCAATTCGGGCTTCCTAGCATTCTGAAAAATCATATGAGGATACATACCGATGGCAAAAATTGCATATGTAAGCTATGTGATAAGCAATTCGGACGTTCAGACACTATGAAATGCCATATGAGAATACATACCGGTGAAAAAAATTACATATGTAAGATATGTGGTAAGCAATTTGGACAAGCAGTCCACATGAAACGCCATATGAAGATACACACCCGTGAAAAAAATAACATATGTAAGGTATGCAATAAAGCATTCAACCAGAATTCAAACCTGCAGCGACACAAATTCACACACGAAAAAGTGCAATTCGAATGCAAACAGTGTGGTAAGAATTTCACTCGAAAGTATTTGAATACACACATGAAAATACATAAAAGTTTGAGTGAAAAGCTATATTCGACAGTGAGCACCTTAATAAATTCGATAACAGAAGATATCATTGACACGGAAATATTAGTAATGAAAATCCTTGAATTCACAGGTATATAAATTATTGTATTGTGTTGGCTTAAATTGTATTTGTACATTTTCTGTCATTTGTGTTTCGTCCATTATCATCTGATCGAATGGCTGAAGTGATTGTTGGAATTGGATATAAATTTTAAATTATAATTTGATAGAACTTCATATTGCATTCATTTTTTCACATGAATTTTAATGTGTTGTTTAAACTTTATATGCCAATATTCTTTTTTTTTGGAAACGGTTTAAACATATGAAACCACCAAATGAAACCATTTGCTTAAAGGTCAAGCAATACAAAATAATACATCGTGACCTTTAAACAATTGACCTTTAAACAAATGGATCTTTTATTTGCTTTTTCTCCCTGATTATGCTGTTATTAAATTTTGAAATTTTGTTAGCTTATTAATGAGCTGAAATAACTTAGATTCTAAAAGTTCTACGAGTTGTAAATGATTCTTCATGACCTCTCTTGCAGTATTCAATTAATGGATTAACTTAACATTCCAGAATACGTTCGTTATGGTATAGAAGGAAATTTTACATTTATGAATGCCATTTTAGTTTTAATAAATGTTTGAGTAAAATGAGAAATAAGAAAACTGAATTGATTTAAATTTTTAAATGTGTTTTATTTTCCGAAGGATTCGAAAAATTTTGATCTTCCAATGTCATCTGAGTTGTAAGAATTACGTGACAGTTCTAGACAATGCTGCCGATTGTAATCGCATTTGCATGAAACTATTATTATTCAATATAACTAACAAGAAATTTTAGAGTGTTGTGGTGTCAAAATTATAATGTGAATAGACCGCAATTTTGTGATTATATTTGGATATAGATCATACGGTTTACCAGAATGCATAAAACGGTTCCCTCTGTTAATTCTACTTCATTTCATAAGTTGTCTGCTAAAAATACATTTCAAAAAGGCTTTCACGATCTCTATATTCCGTCAATTCCCAATTATGCTTGTGTCATATTATATGGCAGTGATTACTTTACCGTTATATATCACGCAAATAACGGTATGTGAATAAGATAATGGTTTCAGTATAGAACTAAAATATTCACAGTTTTTATTTTACCTGAAAACGAAAACGGCTACTTCCGGCAAAGGAAAATTGAATTTTTCATTTCTTATCTATTTCCCTGTAAAATATTCGATGTCTTATAGCAAAAACTAAAGTGAAGCGCAAATGTTAGTGCATTAAATCACAGAATCATTTTTGCTACATTGAAAATCAACAATTAAATCTATAAACAAAAATTATTTAGGATTACTTCAGGTATCCAATGATGGAAGTCTGCCAATACAAGCAGGTACAAGAAATGACAAGGAAATAACGACCGTAGCAAGCGACACCAATGCAAAAGGAAAATGGTTCAAATCTTACATATACTACATATGTAATGTATGTAATAAGCAATTCGGACGTTCAGACACTCTGAAATGCCATATGAGGATACATACCGGTGAAAAAATTTACACATGTAAAGCATGTGATAAGCAATTCAGACATGGAAGTTCTCTGAAATGCCATATGACTATACATACCGGTGAAAAAAATTACATATGTAATGTATGCAATAAAGCATTCAACCAGAATTCAAACCTGCAGCGACACAAATTGATGCACGACAACGTACGATTCGAATGTAAACAATGTAGTAAGAATTTCGCTCGGAAGGATATTTTGAAAGAGCACATGAATATACATAAAAGTTCGAGTGAAAAGCTGTATTCGACAGTGAGCTCCTTAATAAATTCGATAGCAGAAGATATCATTGACACAGACATATTAATAATGGAAATTCTTGAATTCACAGGTATATAAATTATTGTAATGTGTTGGCATAAATTGTATTTATACATTGCTTTCTGTCATTTATACTTCGTCCAATATCTCTTGATCGAGCGGCTGAAGTGGTTGATGAAATTGGATGGAAGGTTTTGAGTTATGATTTAATAGAACTTCATATTTTTCACGCATTCATTTTTTCACACGAATTTTTATGTTGTATAAATTTACTATACCAATATTTGCCGCGCACCTAAAATGAATAACAGCATTTAAATATCGAACTTCATTAATATATTTCTTCCAGCGTTGAGATGGTTATCTTCACTTAACATTTTAGCTTATGTTGCGGCATAAAAGGAAAATTTAAAAAATTCCACTTTTCTATTTCATTTATTCCACTCTTTTTTTGTCTGTCTTTTTCCGCCTAACTGTAGACATGCACATAATATTAAAGTAACAGAATAAAATCGAAGGCGGAAAAATGAAACAGACAATATTCAGATATTTTAGTGCTGAAATATAAATAAGCCTTACTTCATCGAAAAGCAGTATTCTATGTGTGTTATAGTATCCGTAGTTAAAAAGACACGATAAATAAAAGCAATGATATTAAAAATAATCCTTTTTTTTCATGTTTTATGAATAAAAATTACAATGCGAAAAGATCGGAGATTTGGATTGTATTTGGCCACAGATCATATGGCTTATTGGAATGCATAAAAACAGTTCCTTCTGTTAATTCCACTTTGTTTGGCAAGTTGTCTGCTGAGAATATTTTCCGAAGAATTTTGTCCATTTCTACGTTTCATCACTTTCTAATCATGTTGGCCTTATGTTATTTGATAGTGATTGCTTTGCCATTATATATCACGCAAATAACGGTATGTGAATATTGCTCTTAGTATGGAAATTAGGTTTCCACAAAGTTTTTTTAGTTGAAAACGGCTACTTCCTACAAAGGAAAATTGAATTTTCTATTTCTCATCTATGTATTGCGATCATATCCTATAGCAAAAACAAAAGTGAAACGCAAAAAGTTTGTGCATTGAATCACAGAATCATATTTACATTGAAAAACCATAATCAAATCTATAAACAAAAATTATTAAGGATAATTTCAGGTATCAAATGATGGGAGTCTACCAATACAAACTGGAATAGGAAATGACCAGGAAATAACCACTATGGCTAATGATAGTATGGCAAAAGAATGGTTCAAATGTGAGGTATGTGACAAGCAATTCGGACGTGCAAGAACTCTGAAATGCCATATGAGGATACATACCGGCGAACAAAACTTCACGTGCAAGGTATGCGACAAGCAATTCGGATATGCGGGCAATCTGAAAAGCCATATGAGGATACACACCGGCGAAAAAAACCACATATGCAAGGTATGCAATAAGAAATTCGTACAGGCGGGCAATCTGA